CTTGGTTGGAATCGAACCCAGGACTCTTTGGTCCATGGGCAATGCTCTTAATCGCTGATGTTGGCTGTAGGTTTTTCATATATGACCTTTATTATGTTGAGATATGATCCCTCTATTCCCACATTGCTGAGTGTTTTTTTTTTTTTTTTTTTATCAGAAATGGGTTCTGGATTTTGTGGAATGCTTTTTTAGTGTCTATTGATATGATCATATGGTTTTTATCTTTCATTTTGTTTATGTGGTGTATCACATTAACTGATTTGCGAATATTGTACCATCCTTGCATCCCTGGGATGAATCCCACTTAGTCATGGTGAATAATTTTTTAATGTATTGGTGGATTTGGTTGGCTAATATTTTGTTGAGGAGTTTAGCATCTATGTTCATCAGGGATATTGGCCTATAATTTTCTTTCTTTGTAGTGTATTTATCTGGTTTTGGAATTTGAATAATGCTGGCTTTGTAAAATGAGCTTGGGAGTCTTTCTTTCTCCTGAATTTTTTGGAATAGGTTGAGAAGAGTAAGTATTAGTTCTTCCTTGAATGTTTGATAAAAATCACATATAAATCCATCAGGTCCAGGGCTTTTGTTTATTGGAAGCTTTTTGATTACTGATTCAATGTCACTGGTTGTAATCTGTTTATTCAGATTCTCTGATTCTTCCTAATTTAGTTTTGGAAGGTTGTATATTTCTAGGAATGTATCCATTTCTTCCAGATTGTCCAATTTGGCATATCACTGTTTGTAATATTTTCTTACAATCTTTTGTATTTTTTTGGTGTCAGTTGTTACTTCTCTTCATTTCTGATTTTATTTATTTAGGTCTTCTCTCTTTTTTTCTTGATGAGTCTGGTTAAAGGTTTGCCAATTTTGTTTATCTTTTTAAAGAACAAGATTTTTGTTTCATTGATCTTTTGTATTGTTTTTTTAGACTTTATATTTTCATTTATTTCTGCTCTAACATTGTTTTTTATCTTTATTGTTGAAAGTATTACAGATCTCCTTCCTCTTTTCCTCCATTGACCCTCTCCACCCTGCTCCAGCCCCCACCCCCAGGCCTTCACAGCACTATTGTGTTTCCATGGGTTATATGTATATGCATATGAGTTTTTTGGTTAATCTATTCCCACCCCTCCCTTTCCTCTAAGATCTGTCAGTATGTTCCATGCTTTCATGTCACTAGATCTATTTTGTTCATCAATGTATTTTTTTCATTGGATTCCACATATAAGTGAGAACATGTGGTACTTGCCTATCTCTGACTAGCTTATTTCCCTTAGCATAATACTCTCCAGATCCCTCCATGCTGTTTCAAAGGGTAAGATATCCTTCTTTTTTTACAGCTGTATAGTATTCCATTATGTAAGTGTACCACGGCTTTTTATCCACTCATCTACTGATTGACACCTGGGCTGTATCCAGATCTTAGCTATTACAAATAGCTCTGCTATGAACATAGGGGTGCATATATTCTTTTTGATTGGTGTTTCAGGTTTCTTAGGATATATTCCTACAAGTGGGATCACTGGGTCAAATGGCTGTTTCATTTTTAATATTTGAGGAACCTACCTACTGTTTTCCATAGTGGCTGTACCAGTCTGCATTCCAATCAGCAGTGTATTAGGGTTCCCTTTTCTCCACATCCTTGCCAGCACTTGTTGTTTGTTGATTTGTTGATGGCAGCCATTCTGACTTGTGTAAGGTGATATCTCATTGTCATTTTAATTGCATCTCTTTGATGATTAGTGAAGATGAGCATTTTTTCATGTCTTTTGCTTATCTGTATGTCCTTGTTGAAGAAGTGACTATTTAGATCCTTTGCTCATTTTTTAATTGGATTGTTTGTCTGTCTTTTGTTAAGTTGTATGAGTTCTTTACATATTTTGGAAACTAACCCCTTAGCAGTGATATCATTATCAAATATGTTCTCCATACAGTGGGATCCATTTTCATTCTTTTTATGGTTTCTTTTGCTCTGCAGAAGATTTTTATTTTGATGTAGCCCCATTTGTCTATTTTTTTCTTTGTTTCTCTTGCCCTAGGAAATGTATTTGTGAAAATTCTGTAATGTGAGATGTCTGAATCTCCTCTGATCTTTATTATTTCCTTTGTTCTACTCACTCTGGGCTTTGTTTGTTGTACTTTTTAAAGTTCCTTTAAGTGTAAAGTTAGATTGTTTATTTGAGATTTTTCTTGTTTCTTGAGATAGGTCTGTAATGCTATGAATTTCCCTCTTAGGACTGCTTTCCCTGTATCACACAGATTTGGGGTGTTTTTTCTAATTTTCATGCATTTCAAGGTATCTTTTTTATTTACTGATTGATTGATTTTAGAGAGAGAGAAAGGGAGAGGGAGAGAGAGATAGAAACATCAATGAGAGAGAACATTGATTGGCTGCCTCCTGCGTGCCCCCCACTGGGGATTTGGCCCACAACCTGGGCATGTACCCTTACCAGGAATTGAACCGGTGACTTCTTGGTGCACGGGTCGATGCTCAACCACTGAGCCACACTGGCCAGGGTCAAGGTATCTTTTTATTTCTTCCTTGATCTCATTGCTAACCCATTCATTGTTTAGTAACATGTTATTTTGCGTCCATGTGTTCGTGTGTTTTCTTCTTGTGATTGATTTCAAATATGATAGCATTATGGTCAGAGAAGATGCTTGATATGATTTTAATCTTCTTAAATTTTTTTAAAAAAATATATTTTTATTGATTTCTAAAAGAGAAAGAAAGGAGCCCTGGTTGGTTTGGCTCAGCAGTTGGAATATTGGCCTGCGGACCAGAGAGTCCCAGGTTCGGTTTCCGCTAGGGGCACATACCAAAAAAAAAAGAGAGAGAGAGAGAGAAAGAAAGGGAGAGAGAGATAAAAACATTGATGTGAGAGAGAAACATTGATCGCTGCCTCCTACATGCCCCCCTACTGGAGATTGAGCCCAGAACCCGGACATGTGCCCTGACCAGGAATCGAACTAGACCTCACAGTTCATGGGTTGACGCTCAATCCACTGAGCCACACCAGCTTGACTAATTGTCTTAAATTTAATGAGACTTGTTTTGTGTCCTATGTGGTTTACCCTAGAAAATATTACATGTGCATTTCAAAATAATTTATATTCTGCTACCTTGGGGTGGAATACTCTAAAGATATAAATTAAATCCATTTGATCTAGTGTGTCATTTAAGGCTGCCATATCCTTACTGATTTTTTGTCTGGAAGATATTTTCATTGATGTCAATGGGGTGTTAAAATCCCCAAATATAACTATATTACTGTCAATCTCTCCCTTTATGTCCATCAAGATTTGCTTTACATATTTAGGTGCTCTTATGTTAGCTGCATGCATGTTTACAAAGGTTATATCCTCTTGTTGGATTGATCTTTTTTATCGTTATGTAGTGTCCTTCTTTGTCTCCTACAATATGCTTGGTTTTAAGGTCTATTTTGTCAGATATACGTATTGCTACCCCAGCTTTTTTTCCCCCTTTCCAGTTGCATAAAATATCTTTTTCTATCCCTTTACTTTCAGTCTGTGTGTAACTTTCATTCTGAGGTGGTTCTCTTGAAGACAGCATATACGTGGGTCTTATTTTCTTATCCATTCAGCTACTTATGTCTTTTTTTTTTTTAATCTTCACCTGAGAACATTTTTACATCCATCTTCAGACAGAACAGGAGGAAGAGAAGGATGAAGAGAGAGAGAAACATTGACGTGAGAGAGACACATCAAGAGATTGCCACCCACATGACCCCAACTGGGGTCGGGACAAACTGCAACCGAGGTATGTGCCCTTAGTGGGAACCGAACCCAAGACTCTTCAGTCTGTGGGCCAATGCTCCAACCGCTGAGCCAGACTGACCAGGGCACTACCTATGTTTTTTGATTGAACATTTAAGCTGCTTACATTTAAAGTGATTATTCATCGGTATGTATTTATTGCCATTTTATTATTTTTTAAAATAATGTTTCTCTGTTGTTTTCTTTTGCATTTTGCACTTCTTTTTTTTTCCCCCAGGAAAGAGTGCAGTCCCCTACTACCCAAATTATGCAGTCAAGTTTCCCACTGTTGTGGCGCGAGAGAACCAAGAGACCACCAGAGCCAAATTAAAGCCAAATAGATAGCAAAACAGGCCGGCAACTGATCCTGAGTTCTTGGAGATCAGCCTTGGACCTCCAAATGTTATGGAGTGACAGAGCCAAAGAAAGACCACTAGAGAACTGAATTCTAAATAAGAGCTGTTTATTAGCTGGCCAATGTCTGATTCTGAATACCCCTGTGACAGAGTCTTTGGAATCAGCCCCAATATGCTTTATTACATGCCTTTATACCTCACAGAAAATAGGATCTTCTTGATATAATGCCCAGGGCCACAGCAATGCTGTATAGAATTAGTTTGCCTTATGGATAACAGGAACACCCAGGCACACTCAGGAACACCCAGGCACACCCCGGAACACCCAGGCACACTCAGGAACACCCAGGCACACCCAGGAACACCCAGGCACCCCCAGGCACACCCAGGAACATTCAGGAACACCCAGGCACCCCCAGGAAAACCCAGGCACCCCCAGGAACACCCAGGAACCCAAGAACACTCAGGAACACCCAGGAACACCCAGGGACACTCAGGAACACCCAGACACCCCCAGGAAAACCCAGGAACCTGGGTACACTCAGGCACACCCAGGCACACCCAGGAACCCAGGAACACTCAGGAACACCCAGGCACCCCCAGGAACACCCAGGTATTTCAGGTATTTCAAGGTACATTGGGTCACCCTTAGCCCCGAGCTGCACAAACACAATGCAAGCCTGATTCCTTGAGATTATGGGGGAGGTCGAGTCTCTGACTCAAGACCTCCAGGCTCTGTGGACTCTGTCAGACATGTAGCCAGCTCCCAACAATTTCTTGGTTCAGGGAGTATTCCAATTTACTGAGGTTATTTTGACTAAACAGGGCACACAGTGACTTTCCTAATCATCAATTATGGAGCAGCACAATAAGTTACCAATAATCAATTATTGGTTATAAACATGCCAGCACAACATATTTGGGGAAATCGCAGGGGTCAGCGCATTTGGAGTGCAATGGATAAGTCTCACCCTGGGAAAATCACCTTTGTGATCATGTTATCTCCCCTGTCAGGGAGGATTTTTTTCCACTTCTTAAAGCAAGCCCTTTAACATTTCTTGTAATGCTAGTTTGGTGGTAATAAACTCCTTTAACTTTTTCTTGTCTGGGAAGCTCTTTCTTTCTCCTTCAGTATTAAATGATAGCCTTGCTGGGCAAAGTAGCCTTGGCTTTAGGTAAGAAACTCCATTTCTGTGCCCTGATCTGTGTTCCTGATTATCTCACTGTTAGTGGAAGGGAAAGACATTCTTTTCCTCCCTATATGCTGTTCCTTTCCTGGAGTATAGCACTTACTGCTGAGAATGGAAAGGGCATTTGATAGTGTGACTGAATGTAGAGGAAGAAACAGAGACTCTTATAAAATATTGACACGTGAAGGGGGGGGGTGGTAGAAGAGGATAAAGTGGGGATAAATGGTTATGGAAGTAGACTTGACTTGGGGTGGTGAACACACAATACAATATACAGATGATGTATTATAAAATTGTACACCTGAATCCTATATAATTTAATTAACCAATGTCACCCCAATAAATTAAATAAAAAAAGAATATTGACACATGAGAGAGGTCAGTATTTGCAATGTCAAACTCTGATTGTATATACTCCACTGATAGGATTTGACACACCCCAGATCTCATCTAAAGTGGAATAGAACTAAATGGCTCATGACTTGTGCTAGAGGTGTAGAAGAAGAGATAGGATCCTGGAGAAAGGGTGTAGGTGTCAGGGAGGGAGAAAAGAGAAGGAGAGGCTACGGGGGGAAGGTTTCTTCTTTGCTGCCTGCGAGAGAGGGGATAGCCAGGTAGAGCAGCTAAGTGAGCCTGGATGAAAGGACCTGTGTCCATTGAGGGTTGGTGAGGCTGATATAAAAAGAGTAGAGGAACACTTTCCAAACCCTTATTCCTTGTGACTCTGAGTTAAGAGATCTGACATTAACTTGAAGCAAGGCACTATTGTGTTCATTCTGCTAGAATATAAGCTGTGTGAAGGCAGGGATCTTTGTTTATTTTGTTCACTGATGTATCCCACATGCTTGGAACAATGCGTGGCATCTATAGGCACTCAATAAATATTTGTTCAATTGAATAAAAAGATTCTGGACTATGTGTGTATACCTGACTGGCTAACAATATGGTTATTTAATATTGGACTGTACCACTCCTGACTTTCCTATTCAAGGCATAGTGCTGGCATATTAATAGAAATGAACCAAAACATTTGTCAAGTGACTTGCATAAAAAGAGGAGAAGGAGGAGATACTTTAAGGGTCACAACCAGTAGTATTAGACTTTAACAGCTATTATCCTGGACTCCATTCCAGATATAGAAAGCATTAAGGTCAACAGTGGAGTAGAATTAGATTTTATTTTATTTTTATTTTTATTTTTTGGTACGTGCCCCTAGCAGGAACCGAACCTGGGACTCTCTGGTCCGCAGGCCAATATTATTAAAGATACTTAAGCCCTGGCCGGTTTGGCTCAGTGGTTAGAGCGTCAGCCTAACCCGGGTTTGGTTTCCCCTAAGGGCACGTATCTTGGTTGCAGTTTGTCCCTGGCCCTGGTTGGGTTGTGCGGGTGGCAGTCACTCGATGTGTACCTTTCACATCAATGTTTTTCTCTCTCTCTCCCTCCCACTCTATCTGAACAAAAAAAAAATGGAAAAAAAATGGGTGAGGATAAAAAAAAAGATACTTAAAATATAGACTCTGCTTCTCTCTTAATTCCTTTTCCCAATATTTATCCAATCGTGTCAGCTCAAAAGTGGATTGGCTCTACCTAAGACCCAGAAGAAAGGGGAGAGTGTTACACACTAACATAAAAATATTTTAGCCCTGGCCAGTTTGCTCAGTGGTTAGAGCGCCGAACTGTGGACCAGAGAGTCCTGGGTTCTCGATGTGTACCTTTCGAAGCATGTGCTAAGGGCACGTACTTCGGTTGCAGTTTGTCTCCAGCCCCGATTGGGGTCGTGTGGGTGGCAACCAGTCAATGTATCTCTCCCACATTGATGTTTCTCTCTCTCTCTCTTCACCTCTCTGCCCCTCTCTCTCCATCCCACTCTGTTGAAAATAAATGCAAAAATGTCCTCAGGTAAGGATAAAAAATTTTTTAAAAATAAAATTACATTGCTTTGCCCTGCCAGTGTAACTCAGTGGTTGAGCATCGACCCATGCACCCAGAGGTCACCAGTTCAGTTCCCTGTCAGGGCACATGCCCAGGTTGTGACTCAAATCCCCAGTGGGGGGCATGCAGGTGGTGGCCAATCGATGTTCTCGTTCATCAATGATTCTATCTCTCCCTCTCCCTTCCTCTCTCTCTAAAAATCAATGAAGAAAAAAAAAAATAGCATTGCTTTAACAGTATGCATAACAACATAAAATGCATATAAATAAAAATCTCTTCTATTTGAATACGAAACTGCATAGAGAGGATTAAGAGCATTTTATTATTCAATCAATTGATCTATTTTATAAATATGTTTTTATTGATTTTTTTTTAGAGAGGAGGAGGAAGAGAGAGAGAGAAAAACATCGATGTGAGAGAGAAACATCAATCGGCTGCCTCCTGCATGCCCCCTACTGGGGATTGAGACTGAAACCTGGACCTGTGCCCGGACTGGGAATCAAACCAGGACTTCTCAGTGCATGGGAGAACACTCAATCTACTAAGCCACACTGGCCGGGCCAATTGATCTATTTTAAAGTTTGAGGATATCACTCTGACTTTTGAAATTCTCAGAAGTTGTGGAGTAAAGTTTTAGAAAGTTTTCCAACAGAATTCTTTAGCCCAATGATTTATAAGATTATTTCTATGAGATAATTACTTTAGTATTTATTCATAATGCACCCCTCAACCCACAAAAGGATGAGACATGGTCCACAGGAGGCTTAGTTGGAAAATAATCACCTTTTGCCCTGGCTGGTGGCTAGAGCATTGGCCTGCACACTGAAGGGTTTTGGGCTTGATTCCCAGTCAAGGGCACGTACCTGGGTTGCAGTTTTGATTCCTGGCCTGGACCAGGGTGCATGTCAGAAGCAACCAATCAATGTTTTTCTCTCACATCAATGTTTCTCTCTCTCTCTCTCCCCCCTTCCTCCCTCCCTTCCACTCTAAAAAAATCAATGGAAAAAATAGCCTCAGGTGAGGATTAACAAAAAAAAGAAAAAAAGAAAAAAAAAGAAAATAAGCATTTCTTATTGTGGTCACCAACAGCTTTGATATTGAGTCAAATGTATCAATCCAGGCTCTCCTCTTAGGATACATTTTCTCTCCAGAACGCCTTCTTTCTTGCAAATAAGAGTCTTTAGCTCTTCCCACCAGTTTTCTAGATTTCTCCAGACATACATGCTGTGGACAAAATTTGAACTGAGGCTGGGAGCTTATTATCATCATCTCTTACCTGTGCATAGTACTTTATAGTTTAAAAAGTAATTTCACATCCAGTATCTTTTTTTATCTTTTTTTTTTTTTTTTTTTTTTTACAGATAGAGTGGGAGGGAGAGAGAGAGAGAAACATCGACATGAAGGGACACACCGAGTGGCTGCCTCCCGCACGACCAACCAGGGCCGGGGACAAACCGCAACCGAAGCACGTGCCCTTAGCGGGAACCGAACCCGGGCCTCTCCGGACCGCAGGCCGACGCTCCAACCGCTGAGCCAAACTGGCCAGGGCTCCAGTATCTTGTTTAATGCTATCAACAACCCAATGAGGTAGGCAGAAATCGATTTATGATAAAGCTAACGAAGTTAAAGTTCTAGCACCCCCTGGGAAGGACCTTAGCAGAATCACACAGTCATAAGATTTTGTAAAATTTGCAAAAATTTTAACTGCAACAGTTTAAGACTGCTGTCCCTGTCCACTGTGATTATCACTCTTTAGCACTTCCCTCATGTTGGGAAGCATTGGAGTGTCCTTATGCATTTTGGGGATCTGGCTGAGGGGAAGTTGAATTTGGTGCATTTAGTTTGGATTTAGTGGAATATATTCATGTAGTTTGCAAGCATTTTCGTGTATAGTTAAGTTGTTGGTTTTTTAAAATTAATTAATTAATTTATTTATTTTTGTAATCCTCACCCGAGGACATTTTTCCATTTTTTTTGTTCAGATAGAGTGGAAGGGAAAGAGAGGAAGAGAGAGAGAAACATCCATGTGAAAGGGACACATCGAGTGGCTGCCACCCACACAACCCAACCAGGGCTGGGGAGAAACTGCAACTGAGGTACATGCCCTTAGCAGGAACCGAACCCCGGTCTCCCGGGACCATAGGCCGACGCGCTGAGCCAAACCGGCCAGGGCTTTAATTTATTTTTAGAGAGGGAGGAAGGGAGGAGAGAGAGACAGAAACATCGATGAGAGAGAACATTGATTGGCTACCTCCAGCATGCCCCCACCAGGGATTTGGCCCACAGCCTGGGCATGTGCCCTGACCGGAAATCAAACTGATGACCTTTTGGTGCATGGGTCGACATTCAACCACTGAGCCACACTGGCCGGGCCATGTATAGTTAAGTTATTGCCAGTTGCCGGAGTGTAGGAATGGCTTCCAGGACTCATCTGCTGAAAACTGGTAATGCAGGTTGACAATGCAGTGTTTAAGGTTTGTCACTGCAGAAGAGATCTTTAGATGCCTTGTAATCGTGTTCCTCATACATTAAAGAAACTTGATAGAGGGTTTCCCACATTTAATGATGATCCTAATAATTTATATGATGTTGCTAAAACAAGTTTTGGAGCTAAAATAAACTTTTAATACTAGCATAAGGAAAAAAGAATAGTCAGATTAGAGAAGACTATTTATTTTATTCTCTGTATAGAAAATAGTATAACAAAACCACAATTATATGAAAAGGTGATTAAAGATCACCAAATTTGCCCTGACCGGTTGCTAAGTGGTTAGAGCTTCAGCCCGGGGACCAGGGAGTCCCGGATTTGGTTCCCGCTAAGGGCATGTACCTCGGTTGCAGTTTGTCCCTGGGCCTCCCCCCACCCCCCGGCTTGGGGTCGTGTGGGTGACAATCACTCG